TGGTGATGGCAATGATGGTGATGGTGATGATGGTGGTGTTGATGATGATGATGGTGATGATGAAGGTGATGATGATGATGATAATAGTGACAGTGATGATGGTGGTGGTGACGGTGATGATGATGATAATAGTGATGATGATGATAGTGACGATGGTGATGATGGCGATGATGATGATGATAATAGTGATGATGATGATGATGATAATAGTGATGATGATGATGATAGTAATGGTAATAATAGTGGTGGTGATGGTGATGATGAAGGTGATGATGATGATGATGATGATGATGATGATGATGATGATGATGATGGTGATGATGGTGGTGGTGATGGCAATGATGGTGATGGTGATGATGGCGGTGATGATGATGATGATAATAGTGATGATGATGATAGTGATGGTGATGGTGGTGATGGTGATGATGATAATAATGTTGATGATGATAGTCATCATAATGATGGTGATGATGGTGGTGGTGGTGGTGATGGTGATGATGGCAGTGATGATGGTGATGATGGTTGTGGTGATGGCAATGATGGTGATGATGGCAGTGATGATGGTGATGATGGTGGTGGTGATGGCAATGATGGTGATGATGGTGGTGACGATGGTGATGATGACAATAGTGACGATGATGATAGTGATGATGGTGGTGATGGTGATGATGATAATAGTGACGATGATGATGGTCATGATGATGATGGTGATGATGGTGGTGGTGATGGCAATGATGGTGATGGTGGTGATGATAATAGTGACGATGATGATAGTCATGATGATGATGGTGATGATGGTGATGATGATAATAATGATGATGATGATAGTGATGATGGTGGTGATGATGATGATGATGATGATGATAACAGTGATGATGATGATGATAGTGTTGGTAATGATAGTGGTGGTGATGGTGATGATGAAGTTGATGATGATGATGATGATGATGATAGTTATGATGGTGGTGGTGATGGTGATGATGGCGGTGATGATGATGATGATGATGATGATGATGTGATGATGATGATGGTGATGATGGTGGTGGTGATGGCAATGATGGTGATGATGATAATAATGATGATGATGATAGTGATGATGGTGGTGATGATGATGATGATGATAATAGTGATGATGATGATAGTGATGGTAATGATAGTGGTGGTGATGGTGATGATGATGATGATGATGATAGTGATGATGGTGGTGGTAATGGCAATGATGGTGATGGTGATGATGGTGGTGATGATGATGATGATGATGATGATGATGATGATGATGGTGATGATGGTGGTGGTGATGGCAATGATGGTGATGGTGATGATGGTGATGATGATAATAATGATGATGATGATAGTGATGGTGATGATGGTGGTGGTGATGATGATGATGGTGATGATGAAGGTGATGATGATGATGATAATAGTGACAGTGATGATGGTGGTGGTGATGGTGATGATGGTGATGATGATGATAATAGTGATGATGATGATGATGATGATGATAGTGATGATGGTGATGATGGCGATGATGATGATGATAATAGTGATGATGATGATGATGATAGTGATGGTGATGGTGGTGACGGTGATGATGATAATAGTGATGATGATGATAGTGATGGTGATGGTGGTGATGATGATGATGGTGATGATGAAGGTGATGATGATGATGATGATAATAGTGACAGTGATGATGGTGGTGGTGATGGTGATGATGGTGATGATGATGATAATAGTGATGATGATGATGATAGTGACGATGGTGATGATGGCGATGATGATGATGATAATAGTGATGATGATGATGATAGTGATGGTGATGGTGGTGATGGTGATGATGATAATAATGACGATGATGATAGTGATGGTGATGATGGTGGTGATGATGATGATGATGATGATGGTGATGATGAAGGTGATGATGATGATGATGATGATGATGATGATGGTGATGATGATGATGATGGTGATGATGATGATGATAGTGATGGTGATGGTGGTGATGGTGATGATGATAATAATGACAATAATGATAGTGATGGTGATGATGATGGTGATGATTATAATGATGATGTTGATATTGATGGTGATGATGATGATGATAGTGATGGTGATGGTGATGATGATAATAATGACAATAATGATAGTGATGGTGATGATGGTGATGATGATGGTGATGATTATAATGATGATGTTGATGTTGATGGTGATGGCGGTGATGATGATGATGATGGTAATAGTGACGATGATGATAGTGATGGTGGTGGCGGGGATGATGATGATGGTAATAGTGACGATGATGATAGTGATGATGGTGTTGATGATAGTGATGGTGGTGGTGAATGGTGGTGATGGTGGTGGTGATCATGATGGTGATGGTGGTGATGGTGATGGTGATGGCGGTAATGATGATGATGATGGTGCTGGTAATAGTGACGATGATGCTAGTCATGGTGATGATGGTGATTATGATAGTGATGATGATAGTGATGGTGGTGGTGAATGGTGGTGTTGGTGGTGGTGATCATGATGGTGATGGTGGTGATGATGATGATGATGATGATGATGATGATGGTGACGATGATGATAGTGATGGTGGTGATGATTATAGTGATGGTGGTGATGGTGCTGATGATGATAGTGATGTTGGTGATGGTGGTGATGGTGATGGCGGTGATGATGATGATGGTAATTTTGACAATGATGATAGTGATGATGATATTGATGATGGTGATGGTGGTGGTGAATGGTGGTGATGGTGGTGGTGATCATGATGGTGATGGCGGTGATGATGATGATGATGATGATGATGGTGGTAATAGTGACGATGATAATAGTGATGGTGATGATGATGGTGATGATGATAGTGATGGTGGTGATGGTGGTGGTGACGGTGATGGCGGTGATGATGATGATGATGATGACGATGATGATGATGGTAATAGTGACGATGATGATGGTGGTGATGATGATAGTGATGTTGGTGATGATGAAAGTGATGGTGGTGATGGTGATGGCGGTGATGATGCTAATGATGGTAATAGTGACAATGATGATGGTGATGATGATAGTGATGGTGGTGATGGTGGTGGTGGTGGTGGTGATGATGATGATGGTAATAGTGACAATGATGATATTGATGATGGTGATGTTGGTGTCGGTGATGATAGTGATGGTGGTGATGATGATAGTGATGGTGGTGATGGTGATGGCGGTGATGATGCTAATGATGGTAATAGTGACAATGATGATGGTGATGATGATAGTGATGGTGGTGATGGTGATGGCGGTGATGATGATGATGATGGTAGTAGTGACAATGATGATAGTGATGATTGTGATGTTGGTGTCGGTGATGATAGTGATGATGGTGATGATGATAGTGATGGTGGTGATGGTGATGGGTGTGATGATGGTGGTGATGGTGATGGTGGTGATGATGATAGTGATGATGATGATAGTGATGGTGGTGATGGTGATGGTGGTGATGATGATGATGGTAATAGTGACGATGATGATAGTGATGGTGATGATGGTGGTGATGATGGTGGTGATGGTGATGGCGGTGATGATGATGATGGTAATAGTGACGATGATGATAGTGATGGTGGTGATGATGATAGTGATGGTGGTGATGATGATAGTGATGGTGGTGATGATGATAGTGATGGTGGTGATGATGATAGTGATGGTGGTGATGGTGGTGATGATGATAGTGATGGTGGTGAATGGTGGTGATGATGATAGTGATGGTGGTGATGGTGGTGATGATGATAGTGATGGTGGTGATGGTGGTGATGATGGAGGTGATGGTGATGGCGGTGATGATGATGATAGTGATGGTGGTGATGATGATAGTGATGGCGGTGATGATGATGATGGTAATAGTGACGATGATGATAGTGATTGTGGTGATGGTGGTGGTGGTGATGATGATGATGGTAATAGTGACGATGATGATAGTGATTGTGGTGATGGTGGTGGTGGTGATGATGATGATGGTAATAGTGACGATGATGATAGTGATGGTGGTGATGATGATAGTGATGGTGGTGATGATGATAGTGATGGTGGTGATGATGATAGTGATGGTGGTGATGGTGGTGATGATGATAGTGATGGTGGTGAATGGTGGTGATGATGATAGTGATGGTGGTGATGGTGGTGATGGTGGTGATGATGATAGTGATGGTGGTGATGGTGGTGATGATGGAGGTGATGGTGATGGCGGTGATGATGATGATAGTGATGGTGGTGATGGTGGTGATGATGATAGTGATGGTGGTGATGGTGATGATGATGATAGTGATGGTGGTGATGGTGGTGATGATGGAGGTGATGGTGATGGCGGTGATGATGATGATAGTGATGGTGGTGAATGTGGTGATGATGATAGTGATGGTGGTGATGGTGATGATGATGATAGTGATGGTGGTGATGGTGGTGATGATGGAGGTGATGGTGTTGGCGGTGATGATGATGATGGTAATAGTGACGATGATGATAGTGATGGTGGTGATGATGATAGTGATGGTGGTGATGATGATAGTGATGGTGGTGATGATGATAGTGATGGTGGTGATGGTGGTGATGATGATAGTGATGGTGGTGAATGGTGGTGATGATGATAGTGATGGTGGTGATGGTGGTGATGATGATAGTGATGGTGGTGAATGGTGGTGATGATGATAGTGATGGTGGTGATGGTGGTGATGATGATAGTGATGGTGGTGATGGTGGTGATGATGGAGGTGATGGTGATGGCGGTGATGATGATGATAGTGATGGTGGTGATGATGATAGTGATGGCGGTGATGATGATGATGGTAATAGTGACGATGATGATAGTGATGATGGTGATGATGATAGTGATGATGGTGATGATGATGATGATGAAGCTTTCCAGAGTCTGTAATCAGATTTTCTTTCTTTCATCTTGTTGCTCTTTTGTGATTTATGTCTCCTAATGTCCTGTTGTCTCTTTGTCCTTCGTCTCTCAGTGGGAGGAGATCAGTGGTGTGGATGAGAAGTACAAGCCCATCCGGACCTACCAGGTGTGTAATGTGATGGAACCCACCCAGCAGAATAACTGGCTGCAGACGGGATGGGTGGCTCGTCGCGGCGGTCAGCGCATCTTTGTGGAGCTTCAGTTCACCCTGCGGGACTGCAATAGCATTCCCGGCGTAGCTGGCACCTGCAAGGAGACCTTCAACCTTCTGTATTTAGAGTCGGACCAAGACCTGGGCAGCTTGACTCGTGAGGACCGCTACACTAAAATAGACACTATTGCTGCTGATGAGAGCTTCACACAGGGCGACCTCGGAGAGAGGAAGATGAAGCTGAACACGGAGGTTCGTGAGATCGGCCACCTGAACAGGAAGGGCTTCCACCTGGCATTCCAAGACGTGGGCGCCTGTGTGGCGCTGGTGGCCGTACGGGTCTACTACAAACGCTGCCTTGCTACTGTCCAGAACCTGGCGGTGTTTCCCGACACGGTGGCCGAGGCTGCCTTTGCCACGCTGGTGGAGGTCCGTGGAACCTGCGTCAACAACTCTGAGGTGGACACAGATGTTCCTCCCAGGATGCATTGCAGTGCTGAAGGAGAGTGGCTGGTTCCAATCGGGAAGTGCAGCTGTAGCGCGGGATATGAGGAGGGTCACAGCAGCTGTGAAG